CTTTTCAAGATTGTTCATCTTTTTATTATTGAAAACAAGTCTATTGTCTGTTATCCGCATTATGAATATTTTCCTCAAGTCTGTGGCTTGTCTGTTCTTTTTCTTCACGCTGTCTTTGGTAAGAAGGTTTCAAATTTTGATGACATCTGACTTATCAGTTGTTTTCTTTTCTAGTTAGTGCTTTCTGTGTCCCATGAAAGAAGTATTTGCCCACCTACAGGTCACAGAGGTTTTCTACTCTCTTTATAGTTTTAACCTTTAAACTTTATTCTTAGTTTTTGTGCTTATGGCTATGATCCAATTCAAAATAGTTTTGAGTATAGTGTGAAGTAGGGGTTGAGGTTTCTTTTCTTTGAAGCAAATGTGCAGTGTTCCAGCACCATTTGCAGAAAGACTTTCTTTTCCTCCTTGAATTGTTAAACACCACTGCCTCTGCAAAGCTGACTAAGGCATGGTCTTTGTCTCTGAGAGCTTTAGTTTGCAGAATAACTGTTGTACAGGAATTTATTGCTGACTTCCCCCCAAAATTAGCCCTCTAAATCTTACTGCTGTTATGCATGGAAAACATTAGCCTTTTAGAAAAGGGATAAGGCAAAGTTCATCTGGCCCTCAGTAAGAATAGTCATACAAAATAATTAATGCAAATTACTGAGCCTGCGGTTGGTATGTTGCTTTGAAGGAATGCAGCAGAAGTAACACTTTAACTTTGGGGAGTTCTTGTACCTTTGTCCCCAGAAGAAAAAAACACTAGATGAATGTGTTCAGCACTTAGGTTACTGTTATCCAGGTTTTAAAAGTTGTACCTTTGACCTTAGGTGGTTCAAAGCTGGAATAAATGCATGGTTTAGTTTTGAGGGATTTAAAAATATTTTCCTGGTTTACATGACTTTTAGATATAAAAGTTAAATTAGTTTTTAAAAGAATTTTGCTTCATTGTTAACACAGTCTGATAACAGTCTCAAAGCGTGAATGAAACTGTTCCGGTTGTATTGCGGCCCGCGGCCTTTTCCCTGTAAAGACTTGCTGCTCCAGACATAGTTGCTTCGACTTCTGTTCTTTGTCCACAGTAGCCCTTCTCACTGCCACCCGTGGCTGTGGATACACGTTTAGGTGATGAAGGGATGAGTAGGTAGGAGTATTAGATTAGGAGGCTACAACACACGGGATTTAGGACTACTTACGAAGTTGAGACAGTAATCTCTTTGTGTGTTTTAATGTCCTTTGGTGTAGAGTTGGAAAAGTCACACGAGCTCCCTGAGGTCAGTGATGATGGAAGATCACATACATGATGGAAGAGAATAAGAGCTTTAAGAGCAAGATAGTGAAGTTCAAATCTTGACGGCATCCTCTAGTGTCCTCTAGGGACCTTGGGCAGATCCCTTACCTTCTTGAGCCTTGGTTTTCTCCTTTTTAAAGTGAGGATGATACTAATATTATCCACCTCATGCTATTGCCGGGATTGAGGAAGACAACCCTTTGGTATAATTAGTGCTCTTGGGAGACAATTTTCCACGATCTGTCACATCTCTGCACGTCTTCTGAGCAGAGGCAGGCTCTGACTGCTTTTTGTTCTGAACTATCTTTTCAAGGATGTTTGTGTCTACAGCCGCTTTGGGAGGCAGAGGTATGTCTCCCATTAGAGCAAAGGGTAGGCATGCTTACTGCCCAGTGTAGTAAAGACAATGTCTCTCTCCAGAGCTGTGAGTAATAAAGTCTCCTACCTCTCTGACCAGGAGTCTTGTGTCTTCTGCCAACGTCTATAAAATCAGCAAACTGGGATGAGCTGGTTACCTAGAGTAGGGTAAGACTCAGACCTTTCACAATTCTTGACAAGTACAGTCTTTGCAACATAGAAGGCAATAAATGATAAATGGCAACTTGTATTGTTACTACCTGACAAGGAAAAAGTCTGTAATAACAAATGCTTTGAAAGCATGAAGTATTCTACACATATTAATTATTACAGAATGAATTTGATGTTTGTTGGCAGGTTGGATAGGATTCAAACCAATATTAGGGAACTGGTCATGGATTTCATGTAAGAGGAAGAAGTCTATGGCAATTCACCATGAAAGTAAAGGAATTTCTAAGATAGAAGATTTTTTTAAAGCAGTAAATGTTTACCAACACTGGCAGAAAAGATATGAACCAGCCAAGTGCTATTATAATAAAAATAGGCCTAAATAGAAATGTAGAATTTAAGAAGTACAGTTAAATTTTCTTAGAATTTTTTAAACTACAATTCTGTCTTTTCTCCTTGGGAATCACTGTATAATCCACTCCATTAGTATAAAGCCATGACCACAGATTTTACTGAGGTAAATCCTTTCAACCTTGGCATTTATGGGAAGCTGCTCCGGGACATCGCCCCAAATTCCTTACAGAGACTTGTCTGACTAATGGTTCAGAAGCACTGTCTTAGAGTCTTCTGCCATCTTAGTAAATGTTTTCATATCCCCACCCACCCTGGATTTGAGTTTCACTCTGAAGCTCTTTCTTAATTCAGGAACTTTAGAAAGGCTTGGAGTAAAAAAACTTTTATTCCTTTTTTATTTTTCAATTATAGTTTACACTTAATATTATTTTGTATTAGTTTCAAGTGTACAGCATGGTGATTAGACAATCATATACTTTACAAAGTGTTCCCCCGATGTTTCCAGTCCCCACCTGGCACTGTATGTAGTTATTAGGATGTTATTGACTGTATTCTCTATGCTGTGCTCTACATCCCCATGACTATTCTGTGACTATCAATTTGTACTTCCTAATCCCTTCTCCTTTTTCACCCAGCCTCTAACCACCCTCGCCTCTGGCAACCATCAGTCTGATCTCTATATCTATGAGTCTGTTTCTATTTTGTTTGTTAGTTTATTTTGCTCTTTAGATTCCACATATAAATGAAATCATATGGCATTTATCTTTCTCTGTCTCACTTATTTCACTTAGCACAATGCCCTCCAGGTCCATCCATGCTTTTGTAAATGGTAAGATTTCATTCTTTTTTTATGGCCCAGTAATATTCCATCACACACACACACACACACAAGCGCATGCCCCTCACGGTATTTTTCTTTTTTAATCCTCACCCGAGGATATTTTTTATTATTGATTTTAGAGAAAGGGGAAGGGGGAGAGAACATGAAAGAGAAACATCTATGTGAGAGAGAAACATCAATCAGTTGCCTCCTGTACAAGTCCTGCTGGGGATCAAACCTGCAACCTTCTTGGTGTACAGGACAATGCTCCAACAAACTGAGCTGACCCGCCAGGGCTGTCCCACAGCTTCCGCATCCACTGGTCTATTGGTGGGCACGTGAGCTGCTTCTGTATCTTGGCTGTTGTAAATAATTCTGCAGTGAGCACAGAGCTGCATATATTGTTTTGCATTAGTGTTTCAGGTTTCTTCAGAGATGTACCAACGAGTGGAATCTCTGGGTCATAGGCAGTTCCATTTTTAATTTTTTGAGGAGCCTCCAAACTGAAACAGTTTTGTTATTGAACCCAGCAGGTTTGGGCTCTTTTATATTTATATTAGCTCTTTTATATATAAAATATCTTATATTTTATATTTATATTTTCATATCTTTCTTGAGCTATTGTCTGTTCTTTACAATTCAGGGGTCCCCAGCCTCCAGGCCGTGGGCTGGTACCAGTCTGGGCCTGTTAGGAACCGGGCTGCTGAGCAGGAGGTGAGCTTGAAGATGATGCACTTGAATCATCCTGAAGCCGCCCCCTCTCATACCGCCCCCCTCCCCACCATCAGTGGAAAAATTGTCTTTCATGAAACCAGTCCCTGGTGCCAAAAAGCTGGGGACCTCTGCTTATATAGAACATTTATCTTATTGAATATGTTTTCTGTTTCCATATTGACCACAGTGTTGCTAAACTTTCTGCTGTTCCATAACATGGGTCCCCTTTCCTCTAGTTTTCAGTAGCATTTTCCTCACTTTCCTTTAAGCTCACACAAGGTCAAGACATTTCAGCTAAGAACTCTGAAAGCTGAGGCAGACCCTGAAGGCACTTGCAACTAGAGGCTGTCAGCCAACTATGCTCCTGGCTGCTGATTCACGCTGGAGGAGAGAGTTGAACATGCACCTCCGTGGCTACCACGTATGACATTCATGCCAAGCTATGTTCTAACCTCAGCCAATCTTTCTAATCTCATCTCCTCACATTGCCTGCATCTCACTCAATACACAGAACTTATACTGCTTCAATGTCTTCAGATCACACAAAATCATGACACAGTGCAGGCTGCGTTAGGTTCTCTGGGCACCCTACAGTACCTATAATAATATAAGTACTTCCATAGCACCCGAGAAATATCTCTGTCACTGTATTGCATTCTGAGGTACTTGGATTCAAATGTTGGCTCTAATGCTAATTAGCTATGTGACCTTGGTCAAATTATTTGGTTTCTCTGTGCCTTAACTTCCTTACCTTTTAAATGGAAGTAGCCCTGCCCAGGTGGCTCAGTTGGTTGGAATGTTGTCCCCTACACCAAATGGTTGTGGGTTCAATTCCCAGGCAGGGCACATGTCTAGGTTGTGGGTTTGATCCCCTGTCTGGGTGCAAATGAGAGGCAACCAATTGATGATTCTCTTTCACATCGATGTTTCTCTCTCTCTCCCTTCTTCTTTCTCTAAAATAAATTAGAATATCTTTGGCTGAGGATTAAAAAAAAGTACAAGAATAATAATACTCTCCTCCTCAAGGTTGTTGGGATTAAATGAGATAATACAGGTAAGTGCTTAGAACAAAGCACAAAATAAGTGCTCAGTGACCATTAGCTGTGATCATTAACAATAGGAACTGACATGATTTGTTCATTCTGGTGGCTGAATTGCAGGGCAAAACTGATAGAGAGGTGACTCCATTTCATCCCTGAGAGTACTTCTGTTTTTCAGGAGATAGTGTGGACACCTGCTTCTTCAAGACGCTGTGATGTAAGTGGAAGCCATCAGAATAAATTCATCAGCCTTTTCCTCCCTCTGGTTTAGGTCTGCAAGACAACCCTTGGTTCTGTGACTGTCACATTTCCAAACTGATCGAAATGTCCAAAGTGGCTGACCCTTCCATAGTACTCCTTGACCCACTGATGGTCTGCAGTGAGCCTGAGAGCCTGGCAGGGGTTTTATTTCAGCGGGCCGTGTTGGATCGGTGCCTGAAGCCATCAGTGATGGCCTCGGCCACCCAAATCACGTCTGCTCTGGGCAGCAACGTCCTGCTGCGGTGTGATGCCACAGGCTACCCCACCCCACAGCTCACGTGGACCAGACCTGACAGCGCGCCAGTTAATCACACAGGTATTTTCTTAATTCAGGCCTATGTTAAAACAAGGAGATTTCAAAGATCTGTGTTTAACTTTATGGATTGGGGAGATTTTCAATTGGCTGATTACTTCTATTAAAATATGCTAAGACTGTTAGGTGACAGGGATTTGAAAAGTCATTTTGTTGGTTGATATTTTCCCGTTCATCTGACTGACTACACAGATGAAATTAGAGAATCTGATTTTTTTCTTAGAAAACAACGTGACCCAGTGCATGAGTGATTGCCCATGAGACCCTTGTCTTGCTGTGTCTTCTTGGATCCACCCACTTTAGGTCCTACAACCATTACAATTTCTGCAGAGGGGATTTTCATACCAGTTTCTCATTTTTAAATGATTCTTTAAATAATTACATGCAAATATTATTGTGAAACAAAAAGTACAATTTTAGAAATGTTGGTGTCATAGACTTTTCAGATCCTACTGTGACCAAGGTAGTGCTTTGATGTTAGTTTCAATAGTGATATTCTGATGACTAAAGCAATATATACTTAAAACTCTTTAAAATTAAATTAAATCAAAGCTCAAATAATGAAATCTGATGTAATAAAAAAATCAAGGCCTAATATTCCTACAAATAGATCATAAATGGTTTTTACTTTGTGGTTAAATTTGGGGTAACTAAAATACTGCTTTGTGTATTATTCTTCAGAAAACTTCAGAAATCAAGACAGGATGGACATATGTTACATTTTAGTGTTTAGGAAGGTAAAATTCCAACTTTTCCAAGACCATATATTATTCTGCAAATAAAAGAATCCATGGTTTATTAATTCATATAAAGTAAATATAAAATGAAAATTTGAAAATACAAATTATGACCTCTCCAGGCCAGAAAATGACCTGCTGTGCCCTCTGTCGATAGGTAGCATTTTATTACAATGAAGAAATATTTGGGGAGATATTTAATCAAGGTCTTTTGACAAACATTTTATAGGACCACAGTGTATTAAAATTAGAAGGGATCTTTGGGACCACTTTTGTCTTATCCCCTGATTTTAAAAGTACAGAAACAGAGACCTAAAGACACTAATTGACTTACCTGAGTTACGTACAACTTAGTGGACAAAAGTTCACTGAAATCAAGTCTCCCTATCACAGCTTCATGTCCTTTCAAAATACCGTTCCCCATACAGTCCTCACGGCACCTGACAGAGCCACCATCTGCCATCAGGGTTTGGTGGTGTGCCATTTCCCTCTTGGTTTATGGTAAAGGGATTCTTGTAGAACCAAATAGTTGCTTATTTTTCAGCTGGCATGTTGGTTTTTCCTTCCCCCACCTCACAGAGTTATATATTTTTTTTCTTCCAGTAATTCAGGAGTCTCCAGGGGAAGGAGTCAGATGGTCCATAATAAGCTTGACAGGCATTTCTTACAAGGATGCGGGGGATTACAAGTGCAAAGCCAAAAATTTGGCTGGGATGTCAGAAGCTGTGGTTACTGTGACAGTGGTTGGTGTCATCACAACCACTGCAGCACCAGACACTGCTGAAAGAAGAACTGGGGGTCACCCTCAGCGAGAAGTCCAGCTGGGATCTAGAAGGTCCATGTCCATACCTGGTTCTCCACCATCTCCCTGGCTCTCTTCCTCCTCTTCTTTCTCCCCATCTCCTTCGACTTTTTTTTCGACTTCTACTTCATCTCCTTCTTCTGCTGCTTCCTTCCCCTTATCTCCTTTCTTTTCCTCCACTCTTTCTTCAACTACAACTCTAAGTACTAGAATTTCAACAAGCACCACTGTGGTCAGTCGACAGTCATTCCAGCTCCATTCAGATGGGAAAAGAAATTTAAAGGTGGGGGTGGGTGGAAATAAGCTTCCCCCAGCTAGTGTAAGTAAAAAAGAAGAGCTGGCATTACTGAATCGAGCAATGCCTATGGAGACAAATGCCACAGTCAAAAATCTCAGAGCAGTCAGTGGGACCAAAGAGAGTGTGACCTTGACATGGAACACTGTTAACATCACGCATAACCCTGAGGTGACCGTGTTGTATTCCAAGCATGGTGAAGAGGACCTGCTGCTGCTGAATGCAGACTCCAGCAGCAACCAAATAACCATCGAAGGCTTGGAACCGGGTGGGCAATACATAGCATGTGTCTCTCCAAAAGGAGTGCCTCCCCAGAAAGACCAGTGTATCACTTTTTCTACTGACAGAGTTGAAGAAAGTCACTCTCCCGGGCCTGTCCTTATTGCAGTGAGCGGTACTGCCTGTGTTGTTGTCTTGCCATTGATTTTTTTCCTGTTGTACAAAGTTTGCAAGCTGCAGTGTAAATCAGATTCCTTCTGGGACGAGGATTTGGCAAAAGAGACTTATATCCAATTTGAAACCCTGTCCCCGAGGTCTCAAAGTATAGGGGAGCTTTGGACACGAAGGCACAGAGATGATTCAGAAAAATTGCTGCTTTGTTCTGGGTCAAATGTGGAATCCCAGATGACTTTTAAAAGTGAGGGTACCAGACCAGAGTATTATTCCTAAGGTTTTATAGCTCAGGCACACAAGAACCCATAAAATTTCTTCCAAAAAATGGAGACTCTGAGGGTACATTTGACTCTTTGTTTAGATAACTTTTAGACAGACTTTTACATCCTCCATAACAATCACAAATGGAGTGATTTTCATTGTGTTTAAAAAAACTACAATCAGACCTCTGAACTGAAGGGACAAATGATCTTGATTTTTGTTTTGTGGAAGATGTGCAGAGAAATAGTTTTTACAGCAGTGCTTAACAAGTTAGAAATATATTTTAGGATAATGTTTTAGTTCTTAAAAATAAATTCATGTGAAAATAGTTGTAAAAGACTGAAGTCTAAATTTTTAAAAGATGGATTTGGAGCAAAGATTAGTAAGACCAGCTAAGCCTTGATGTTTGTTCATGTTCGAAGTGCCTTATGGCATCTGCTGTGGCCATTGCCTAGCGGACGAGAAGGAGCAGTACAGAATTCTGCGTACCACTATGCATGACTACATTATATAGTTGTATCCAGTATTTCCCTTGAGGACATGATACATAGTATGGCTATTTCAAAAAAAAATAGTAACTTGTACTCTAATACATTTGCTAACACTTTGTCCGGGTCTTTTAAGTGCTCATTTTAAAATTATTTCTTTACTATTTTGATATTTACTCTTATTTTCTCACTTCCTCTCTTTTTTTCTCCCCAGTCCTTTCTTCTTTTCACCCCTTCTGCTTTGTCTGAAGACATTCAGGTAGTCAAAGACCACATCTAAGCTGTTTATATTTTGCCACGTTATATTTTGACTTCCTGGATATGGAAAAAACTTTGAAAGTCTTTTTTAGATCTGATAAGGATGTGTTAACATTTAGAAAGAGCAGCTTCAGTGGATTCATCATATGACTAGAGAGGACAGGGGCTTTAAAAGACAAATACCATGTGATCTCACGTGTATGTGGAATCAATGAACACAATAACCTGGTGAGCAGAATAGAAACAGAGGCCTGGGCATGTGCAACAGGCTGACAGCTGTCAGGGGGAGGGGGTTGGGGCCTGGATGAAAGAGGGTGAAAGGAGTAGCCAACACACACACACACACACACACACACACACACACACACACACCAGTGTGGTGATGACCAGAGGGAAAGGTGGGTGGGGGTAGGTGGAGGTGGACAAAGGGGTGGAAAATGGGGACAGAAAGAGAATTTGCTTTTGGCAATGGGAGCATGGTGCGGTGTGCAGATGATGTTTTATTGAGTTGTACACTTGAAACCTGTATGGTTTTATGAACCAATGTCTCCTCAATAAATTCTATTAAAAAATAAAAATACAATTTAGTTTTTTTTAAGTTTTCATCACCTTTACTAAAAATTATATTCCCTTTACATTGAAGGTTTTAGAATATATAATACATTTATGAAGGTGTGCCAGGATCCTTAAATATTCTGAGAAGCAAGTTCTAAGCAAATTTATATTTTGGTTAAGAAATAGGTTGGCTTTAATATAACACATTGTGGAAATTATAATACAAGCAGCTGGACAAAGAAAAAAGTGTTCATTTCAAATGGCTCTTCATTTAAAAGAAAAAAGAATTCTAGTTTGCCCATAATCTGCATATTAGAAGAAGACCAGCATGAATGGATGGCTTGCTTGGGACTCCCAAATTTCCCCATTCTGTAGAATTTCCTTTCCTTTCTAGCCTGTTTGTCCTTGGCACTTCCATCACTGAGTGCATTGTATAATGATCTAACAGTTTTTAATTTTTTAATTTTTTTAAAGATTTTATTTATTTATTTGTAGAGAGATGAGAAAGGAGGGAGAAAGAGAGGGAGAGAAACATCAGTGTGTGGTTGCCTCTCACATGCCCACCACTAGGGACCTGTCCTGCAACCTAGGCATGTACCCTGACTGAGAATAGAACTGGTGACCCTTTGGTTCACAGGCCAGCATTCAGTCCACTGAGCCACACCAGCCAGGGAGATCTAAGTCTTTAATTCAGTATTCATTGTTAGAACTTTTTTTAGAAAAACACCTTTTGCAGGCAGTTTTTTATTTAGCTTCAAGTTATGCTCAACTTATTTTAAATTAAGGACCGCAAAAACTTGCATTTCTGTATTCTAAAGTCATCGTGAAATTTCACTGCCATATTTAAAAAGCTTATATAGAGACTGCCAAAATATTAGCACATTTTAAATAATATATGTGACTGTGGGAGAATGTCATAGATGACTGAGCCAAATGGCACCCAAATCCTACAAGGCTGGTTGTTTTTGTTAGGAAAGACGACTTGGACCATCCCAATGAAATGAATTACTGACTGCCCTCATAATTCAAACCAAGTAAGGTTTGGCTTAGTTTTGACCAATAAGGAAAAGCCAGTTGGTGGTGTGGAGGGGAGAAAGCACCTTTATCGTCTTTAACTTCTCTTGGCACATGAAGTGAGTTGCAAGCAATTTGTTACTCACAGTGAAAGATGTAAAGTTGTAAATCATCTACTTCCTAAAAACACGTACATTTGCGTGTAGTCAAGATTAGCTGGATGATATCATTGCTCTTACGTTCTTACAAGAAGTGACATGGAATTCTACATAATCAGTGGCTTGTCTGTCAGTAACACCATGTCATTGTGAGAGTCAATATAAGCCACAATTAAATGTGATTCCAATGTTTTACTTTCAGACAAAATAGTCCTGAGGTTTGTGAAACTTGGGTTACACATGAGGGTGTGTCACATGGGAGACTCATTGGTGGTGTGCTATGATGTACAAAATTAGTAGGAACTCCAAGCTAAGGGTTTATGATGGCCAGAAGGGTGAACCTGGGCTCCAGGGTCAGACAAGTATGCTGGACTTTGAGAAACTTTCATAAAAAATTCAAAGGAATAAAAGTTCTTGACCCATGTACTTGAGTCTCAAAAAAGGGATTATGGCTAACAAAAGGAGATTAAACAACAACAGCAACAAAACTTCTAGTTGAATAATTGCAAAATAATTCAAATGAAATGGGAGACAGCTCAGGTAAGTTGAATGGCTCCTAGTAATCTACAATTTTTTAAAATTTATTTTTATTTTTTTTATGTTTTATCTTAATCATTGTTCAAGTACAGTTTTCTCCCATTTACTCCCGTTCCAGCCCACCCACCCAACCCTCCCCACTTCCCTCCCATTACCACCCTCCCCCTAGCTTTTGTCCATGTGTCCTTTAAATTTGTTCCTGTAAACCCTTCCCCTTCTCCCCTGAAATTCCCTCTTTTCTCCCCTCTGGTCACTGTCAGACTGTCCCCTTTTTCAGTGACTTTGGTTATATTTTGCTTGTTTCTTTGTTTTGTTGCTTAGGTTCCTGTTAAAGGTGAGATCATATGGTATTTGTCTTTCACTGCCTGGCTTGTTTCAATGTTCATAGCAGCACAATCTACAATAGCTAGGTGCTGGAAGCAACCTAGATGCCCATCAGTAAATGAATGGATCAAAAAACTATGGTGTATTTACACAAAGGAATTCTATGCAGCAGAAAGAAAGAAGGAGCTCCTACCCTTTGCAACAGCATGGATGGAGCTGGAAAGCATTATGCTAAGCGAAACAAGCCAGGCAGTAATCTACAATTTCAAACATATGTATAAAAGATATAAAGAAGGGAGAGTAACTAAGGATGAATGTAAAAATGTAGCAAATCTATTTATAAAAGTGTCTTAAATTAAGGCTCCCAATAAATTAAGGATAAAAAAATGATAAAGTTGACGAAGGAGCTATAAGGCGTGTTTTTTCTAAGTTAAAAAGAACAAGGAAATAATAAGTCTACTGCTTAGAGATGATAACAGAAAGCAAATTAGGGAAGTAGCAGAATCATTCGACTGGGTTTTTTTCCCTTCTCTTTTCTAGATGTGTTTTTAAACTGAGTATAGAGAAGAAACTATGAAAAGTGAGAATTTTCAGCCCAAAATAGATGAGCGATTAGTAAACTAACACCAAGATGTTTAAACTGAGGCCAGAGGAATTAGGCATCAGGAGGTCACAGAGTTTTCAGCCATAAGTAAGCATGCAAAAATGAATGTTATGATCATTAGCAGCCAACAAATGACAACTAAGGAGTAGCTTTGAAAAACTAATATGTTTTTTAAATGAGGTTATGAGGCAGACAGATTAAAAAACTGCTTGAAAGTCAAATAGCAGCCAGCAATTGTTGTTTGTCTTGACTTGGACTAAAATGGGTTGCCTCCTCCTAGTATGTCTTGTAATGGCTTTAAATGACATAAGAAAGTGTGCAGTAAGGTGTCTACACCCTGTTTTATTTAGCATTTTTGTAAATGAATGAATGAATACATACTTTCTAACTCTGTAGATGACATGAGAACAGACAAGGTCTCAGAGAATATTCCGAGTGGAAGGGAAAGTAAACGTGTCACCCGGAGAAACCAGGGCAGTTGTCCTGAGTGACTGCCAGAAGAGAGACATCTCCCTGAATTATTGTGTCTTAACTGTAAACCATGTGAATTTCCATGTTATGCCATGATTTTTTAAAATATAAAATAACCCTCTCTCTAACCAATCGCATTTTTTAGGGTAAAACTGGCATTTCTGTGCCTTTGACGATCTTGGCACATATTCCCCAGAAGTGTTCTGCCTATCTTCACCCAAGCCAGTTATGAAACCTCAGATAGAATAAAGGACGGAGACCAGTGGCTCCATCCTCCAGTCTCATCAGGGACTGTCTCGTGCCGTAGAAAGTCAACAATGGACACGTGGACATGCTAGGTGAGGAAACCAAATTTTGAAAATTACCTTGGTGAGATGGCATATTAACAAAATTAAATCTAACAGGGATAACTATACATTTTGTCTTTTGGTTTACTAGAAATATGGGTGTTTGGAAAAAATCTGTGACTTTAGTTGATTAGGATCACCCTATGAACTAAGAGAGTTATATAATTTGCTAAAAATGCTAGCATTAAGTCACTTTAACATAAGTAGTAGTTATATCAAAGAAGGTATGAGTCCCTCTATGCTCTGCATTACTAAGCCATTTCTATAGGGGCGGGTTTAATTGGGGGTGTCAAATTTACACAGGTTCCTTAGGAAGGCACCTAAGATCAGCTAGCATCTAGAAAATTAATTATACAAGAAAAGGTTAAGAATATGCAGCACAGACTCCAGGGAGACCAGATTAGCTTTGTGCAGCACATAACACTATCTGTTGCACTCAAACACTGTGCTTAGGAGCATCTGCTTGGGTTGTTAAAGGGGAGACTTCTGGGTTCTACAATCTGAAATTTGGGTTCAGCATCCTGGGGTCTTCCAAAGTGCATTTTGATGCTCCACCCAGGGAGATGATGCAGGTGATGGAAAGACTTTGAGAAACACTGTTCTATGTGATGTATGTAAAAGCAGTATTGAAACTACAAAAATGCAGAATGAATCCACATTTTAAAAAACCAACAATATTTTTTTGTAACAACCGGAGTTAGAAAATAGTAGAGTAAACCATGTTGTAGTAACATGACTCTGTATCTATGAGTTTGTTTCTGTTAATTTTGTTTGTTTGTTTCAGGTTTTGGATTCCACATATAAGTGAAACCATGTGGAACCACATGGCACTGGTTTTTCTCTGACTGGCCTATTTCACTTTTTGCCAGCACCTACACTGACCTTTGCAGCCCCTGACTTTTTTCATTTTGTGCCTATATTCCTTTCACTGTTTTCTTGAGGTCTTCTTCCTTTTTTTTAAACCCTCACCAGAAGACATGCCCACTGACTTTAGAGAGAGGGGACAGGTGGGAGAGAGGGAGAGAAACATTGATGTGAGAGAGAAACACTGATTGGCATGTACCCCAGAGGGGACCAAACCCATAACCTAGTCATGTGCCCTGACCACGAATCAAACTCATGACCTCTCAGTTTATGGGATGATGCTCCAACCAACTGAAGCACACTGACCAGGGTGAGGTCTTCTTCTTCTCATACAGGTCATGTCCTGCAAGTCTATGTTTTGGTTCACTTCTTCTTTGCACAATCCAAGGAATCATAAATCACACCATAGCCAGTTGTCCTGCCACCATGTGTGGGTTTTGAATCCAAATACAAAGATGACATCTGGTCTGGTCTTACACATTTTGGCTAGTTTTTTTCCCCTGAATTTCTATCTTATGTATGTTTGTTTTCCCAGGATGAAAGACATCAATGACCATTTTTTTTCCCCCACTAAAGTAGTCTGTTACTGGTTTAAAACATTCCTTTT